AGCGCTAAGTCTATAAACATAACTAACGTACCTGCATCGAGTTGCGTTTCTAGATCCTTTTATAGGGGGAGAGAGGCAAACTTCATACATGTATTCACATTGAAAGGTTATAACTAAATTAGCATAAAAAATCATTGGGGAGGGGGGGGGGGTAAACGATTAAGCTTAATAAATTTGATGATCATTGTTTTGATAATTGTATGATAATAAAAAGTCGCTATCAAATAAAAATAAAATAAAATAAATATACTTAGTATATCAAAATCCAATTAATTTTGCTAAGTCCAATGATGAACGTAGAAAATTCAAGTATACAATGCAACAAAAATAAGGGATCAATTTAATAAAATTTTGGAAAGAACGGAAAAAGATCATAAAGAAAGAAAAGTGCAACAATTCTTCAAACCGATTAAACGTCACAAACATTTTAAATCATCTTTACAATAAATCATGTTAAATTGTAAAATAGAAAAATATGTCATACAAGTACTAGGGCGTCGAAGAAAACTTTTTTAAGCTTCGCGAAAAAAAAATTATACGACTCAGTGAAAAAAAATCTGTTCCGGGCATAGGCGTACGAGGAAGGGGCTAGGGGGATATAAAGCTCAAACATTAATTTTAGCTCTTTTATTATAAATCCCAGTCCTCCAACGGTGGCTAAATTTATAAATTTAAATTTAAATTTAATAGCTTTATTTGTTATTAACAACATCTTGGAAAATTTTTTATTTTTATTTACTATTGGCAAACTATTATATTGTATGTAATGCATTGTGTAGAATGCTGTGTAGTACTAATAAAGTAAAAGTAAATACAAATATATTCGTCACTTAGAAAAAAATTTTTTTTTGTAATATTAATGTATAAAATGGTGATAACGTTTAACGATTATTGGGGGGGGTTTGGGGACGGCACAGCCTCCACTTAATTTCTACACCACTATAAAAGTTCTAGGGTTGAAATCTCTCTAACTTTAAGGTCTAGTTACGTCTATGGTCCCCGGTTCTGTAAAAATACACACTGGCGTCTATCTATGAACCTGTTTTATACAGAAATAATATTATTAAAGAAGTATGATTCAAATAAAAAATACGTATTGACGAATTATTATTGTAATCGATTAGTTTTAATGTAGTTCAGCTTTATAAATATATGATTAAAACTATTACTTGTTGAAAACTAAACATACTCACCTATTTAAAACGTGCCTATGTACTTGAGTCTGCTATAATAGTCTTGAAGATATTGTTATCTACATTATGTTTTAAATTGTTAATTTAAGTTAAATTAATAATTTATATTCAGTATCAATGTAAGACTATAAATTTATGTTTTATACAAATTTTAAATAAATTATAAAAACATAGACATATTTCAATACATAATAGGAAAATAAAAAAAAATATGTAGTATTTTAGATTTATATAGGAATAAACTATAAATCATATAACCCAGTAATTTTGGATAACTGTTAACGTTTATTTGTCCGGCCGTTGATATGGACTGAACTACTCGAAATCAATTAAAATATTTTGCAAATTAATTGTAATTAATTACAATCTCATTTTTTACAGTTTGCAAATCAAGTTCTAATTTTCCAAATAACTCGTAAACATTTAATTTCATGATCATCACTTTTTGATAGATTTCTGATTTTTAATTTAAATATTAATTGTAGACATCATTATAAAAGTCAATTTATTATAATAGTTATATTTTATAGTATATAGTTTTTAATAGTATTAAAGTCAATTTATACATAATTAATTTTTATTTAGGTTAAAAACTTATTTTTTTTTTATAATTCAAAGTGTGCTCACTTAAAAACTAAAATGTCCAGTAAAGTAATAAGAACTATTATTATTTGGCATCCGAATTCAATTATAGAAAATTAAATTTAGTATGATGTACCCACATTATTATATAAGTATATTATTTTGATAAACTTAAATAAGAATATTAATGATGTTAATAATATGTTATAGTATTATATTTTATTCTCAATTGAAAAATATGATGACTGAATAATTTATTTATTAATTTTTTTATTTATATATATTTTTATTTTTTACGCTCCATGTTTTTTAAATGATTATAAGATTTTAAAAAATATATTATTTTGAATCAATTCCATACATAATTATAGGTCGTATAAGTGTAGTCTATAATTTTGTTTTCAAATTAATTGACAATGAACCTGAATTTTTGTAAATTTCATATGATAATATTGATCTTAAGTATTTAAAATAATTGTTTTTTTTTGTTGAGAATTTGACTGAGAATTTTGATTTATTTGTATTTAAATGAGCGAAAAACTGTATTCTTTATGAGACTATGACAGTATTATTTTGAGTTTCTCTCTTTTGTTAGCATTTGTATAAAACGACATGAAATAATAATACTATAAATAAAATTGTCTGTAAATAAAATAAACATTAACCTTTAAGGAATACAATGAAATTATTTTATGAATTATATTTGGATAAATTTTATTGATTATAAATTATTAATAAACAAAAAAGTTAATAATAATAATCGTATGTCATAATTGGTATAGAATTACGAAAATTTAAAGTAATAATATTTAATGGTTATGCTCGACAAAATTGTAAAATTATTAAATAATGATACCATTTAAAAACATTAAGTTTACGTTACATAATTTGAATTTTTTAGAAACAATAGTATTAAGCTACCATTAAAATATAGTTTTCAAGAAACATAATAATTCAATATTATATATATTTTATATATAATATACATATTTATAGATAATATTTTATAATATATTTTATTATAATCGATATTAAATTAAGAAGAACTATGATAGTTGATACAATTAATGTTATCGCAAACTTTTATGTGGCCCTAGGCAAAAGTAGTACAATTTCCTTACAACTAAATATATCTAACTATTTTAACTTGATAAATTGTGACTTCCCAAATTTATTTAAAGTGCGAGGCCTTAGGCAATCATCAAAGTTTTCTGCCCGTTAATGACAGCACTGGATACAATATTTGTTGAATTATAAATTATATAAGGATAGGGTTGTTTAATTTAGAAAAAAAGTAAACAATTATACAAGTAGTTTATTTTCAGTATAATAATAAGCTTTAAAGTAATAGTACATTTAATTTATTTACATTAAGTCAAAGTTACTAATTCTAAATCAAAATTATAGTTGTTTTTTAACTTATTATTTCAATACTAGGTAAAAAAACAATAGTCTAAACACATTTTTATTAAAATTGTGACAAATTTTTGAAATGTATTTTTTAGATTATCGAGTTTTAAAATGTTTAAATAATACAGAACATAATTATTTCATTTTATGCATACATTATATAGATATTTACATACACATTTTCTATATATCATATTTAAATTTTTTTTCGGTTTTTAATCACCTTAACCATAAACAAGAACATGTATTAATTACAATATAAAAAAAAGTAATTTTATGTACGAATATTTATTTATACATATGAACTATACATAGTTACAAGTAAATTGTTATCTCAGTTCTTTGAACAAGTAATGTAGGTAAAAGATAACCATGTTTGATGTACATCGTTAAAATTCCAAACGACGACACAAAAATAAGGCAATAAAAAAGTTGATCTAAAAAGTTTCATATAAACTTCGGCATAGAAAGGTTTTGTACACAATTCCAAAAAAATAAAAAATCAGTTTTCTTTCTTAAATTTGTTAACTTTATTATATTTTAAGATAATAATACATTTACAACAAATTAAATTCAGAACTACAAAAAAAAAAATTAATTTAAAATTACAAAGTGTTTATCAATTAATTTCGTATGAAACTTTATACGCCAAAGTTAAAATTTTCCACACTTGCCAATTTTGTTTCAAAATATATATTTAACTAGAAAAATGTTTAATACGTCCTGAAATCTAATTTTAGTATATATTTACAATCTGCTATTATTTTTTTCGATTTCACAGTGATCTTTTTTCCACGAGGTCGAGATGTTTCGCTGCATAAACTGTTTGGAAACAATAAGTTTCGCATGGATGGTTATTGAAGGTTTGTACGACTGAATAACGTAGGTCGAAGTAAATAGTTTATAATTATTATAAAGACTATTATATTACTTTTATATTATAAGAGTACATATATATATATATATATATATATATATATATATACGGTTACCGTATATATATGACGCTGGTTTATTTTTAAATATTTTTACTATGGATTCCGATATACATATTTTATCAGTTTATTCAGCATCAAAAAATCTTTTTTGCTTGTTGATATAGTGCATGTGTGTTGTTGTTAACATTTTTCTGGTAATGCTGTCATAGGTGGTATATTTTTAATCAAAACTCAACCTATCCGTTTTTTTCTACTAATAAATTATTAATGGTCCCACAAACCATTAACATTATTTTATTCAAACAGATTTTGTCACTTGAAACACAAAATGTCCCCAAGGAAACCTTTTCAATTTAATTATTATTAACGAGAAGACTGAATGTATGAAATATTAAGCAGATAATATTTAATGGTAGTTTTTTATTATAATTATTTAATTATGAAGACATATATAGACATAACTAGTAATTAACATCTTTGAAATGGGTAATTTCAATCTTGCCTAGGGTGATTTTATTTTCTAACTCTATTCGACTTAAATAAACTTCAAGTTATCCGAAACTAAAATTTGTTGGATCATTAAGCTTCATTCGAACAAATTGAAGATTAAGTTATGTGCAACATAAATGTTAGAAAAAACAAAATATAGTCTACTAAAATATTAATTTTTTATGTGAATTATATAGTGTACGAATATTTTGGTTTATATATAAATATATATATATTTATTTTTATTATTATGGTAATTGAATTATTTACTTGAAAACGTAACAATAGAAGTTTGATGATTAAATCAATTTTAAATATCTAAGTCTAGAAAATGTATCAATTGATTCAACAATATGTTCTTTATATTTTTAGGTCAATATAACGATTTGAAAATAATTATTAAATCGATTTCTAAAGTATAAGGTTTTTTGAAATATGAAAGCACAAATTTGGCATAACAGTTTTATAAAAATTACTTTTCTTCTTAAACCGTAAAGTACTTCTTAACGTACTCCTATAATTGCCTATTGTTTAGTTTAAGTTTAACTTAAGTTTATTATTTACGACTGTTTTCCATCTATTGTTTCTGGTGTAATCTCGCAAACATAATAATTACTTGTTAATTTACTATATATTATAATGTGTCTATAAATTACCGATTGGCGTTAATTAAATAAATCAAAATTCGTCTGGCATTCAAAGACATATGTGGTACCAAATGTATTGATTTTTTTGCGTGGTAATAAGGTTTAAATATTATTAATATTAATATAATAAACATGGATTCAAATTGTGAAAATTAATAAATGTATTGATAAATTCAGTAAACGTAATAAATAGATGAAAGACATGTCTGAGTTCTGATGAAGCAATCAGATAAATTATCCGCAATGATGAAAAACCAAAAAGGATTAAAATTTATATTAGAGATTTATCTAGAAACTCCTGATATTTAACATTATCTTAGCGTTAATTTTCGGATTAAATTGGTTATATTAGCCCTGTTGGGGTCAAACGTTTTGCGTGTGCGTTCCTTCGCAAATGAATTTTTATTAAAGCGGAAGTATATTATTAGAAAAATGCAACGATCTGGTTATAATAATAATAATAATGTTGTCGTTTAAGTCACGTATTATACTAGTTATTTCGGAGGAAAATTGTTAAATCGCTCTTCCGGGTTATTTTACCATTTTATCGTACACTTAAAATGTAAAAATTGAAATGGAGAACAATTTTAGGGGAAAAAACATTTCATCGGAATAGCGATTATGGTGCGGAAGAAAAAAAAATCGGAAATGTTTGCACGCAAAATGTCATTGAATATACATGAACGTGTGCGCGCTTGTATATTTGTGTGTGTGTTAAGTTGTCGCATACTACGCGAGTAAATATAAAATCTCGAACCTTTGATAATGGTTTTTTATTTCAATTAAATTTTTTCGTTTTGTTTAACGGTCGTGTTCGCCTCAACACGTATATTTTAATAAGAGATTTCGCGATAAAAACACGGCCTTCATGCTTCTAACCGTTGGATAATGTACAATAATATGTGACAATTAATAACAATACGTCAACCACGTTTGGCAGTCTTAACAATAATAATAATAATAATAATAATAATAATTATAAAAATAATAAATTATAATAGTAATCGAAATCGTGTATCGTATCTATTATAATACTTCAATTATGTATTTATTGTATGTTATATATTATTGTTTTTATAAATAAGTGGTCGTACCGTTAACGCGGGACGGGACCTGATGATTTACGTGATGGCGAAGGCGAGCACTGCGGCCGTGGCGATCAGCGCGAAGCCCAAGTTTAGCGGATTCGTGTTGTTGGTCTGCTCGGACGAACCGTTGTTGGACAACACGCTACTGGCCAACACTATGGCTGCACCGCTCTTGGCACCTCCGGATTTGCCACCGATCATCGTCGTCCTCGTAGCTGGATTCGTGTCTACCGAGCAACCCTGTGCACGGGAAGATGAGGGAATAAGAAAACAAAACACAAGGTCAATGATTTGCAAAAATATTATTGTCATTTTTTAAATTAAATTGTTTTATTATTCGTCGGTGAAATAGACTGACGGCGCGCGGTATTTTATTAAAAATAAAAAAAGGATATTCGATAAGAGGAAACACAATTAAAGCCGGGTTTTTTTAAATCTACACCGGTTCTGTGGGTGATTTATTTTATTTCCACACACAAATCAATGGATAATAATTCTGAATGTAATATAATAACGTGTAATAGACGTGTCATAGTTAGTTATTAAATGATATTTAATCGAACACATTTTTTTATGCATGATTAATTATTTTTCTACTTCGAATAAAATTTAATCATATTCAGAACCGTTTTTAAGTGTGATATGTGACGTGAGAAATATTCCTTAAGTAACACTGCGTGGCAGTGTTGAATATCAAGTAACGGTTATAATATGACTTGTATGATCATAAGATTATAGAGCCGATAAGAGAAACAAAGTCATTAACTATTATTCACTTTTACAATAGCACTTTTATCGATAAGTTTTGACTTTGTCAAATATTTTATTCAACAATGAATAATGAGTTTGCAGTGTAGTCTGCGAAAATAAAGTCAAACAAGATTTTCAGTGAATGTTATAGTTTCTTATATTTTCGCGTACTCGTACTACCCACTTAAAAACAAACAACTAATCATGGGTTTATAGATATTTACTTGTTGAGATTATTGTTTAGTATTTTTATTATGCATTTTGTTTATAAGTAATATTATTTGTTAATGTAATATAAACACGAATTAGAGATATATAATATATTATTGTTTTATAAAACCTCTCCAAAATAAATTGTATTTCCCGATGGTTAAAAAATGACTTATTATATTTTTTTTATGTAAATACTAGATATTGAGTTATTATATTTATGTTTTTTTCTATCATTTAATTTTAACAGAAACTACTTTAGTTCTAAAGGAATTTCCATGATAATAATATCTTAAACGTCTTTTGAATTATGTCGTATACGTTTACGAGTATTATACTATTACTGTTGACCTTGTTTACATCTCTGTGAAATTGTCACAACTTGGTTCTTATGCGTTAACATTTTTTGAATCGGTACCTACCATCGTTATAAGAGGTAAGATTTCGAGACAACATAATAATTTGCAAAATGTGCCTGTCTTTTTAATACAACCGACCCTGTCAGTGAAAAAACCTAATGAATCACTGGAGAATTTGGTACTTGGAGTGTATGTGAATATTTTATGTATAAAAGATTAAATCGGTGTACATTAGACGAGCTAAATATAACAACGATAACGTTTTTTAAAGCGCCAACATTTTATGATTTTAGGATAATTATTTCTTGAGAGAAGTAGATTTTGTCTCAACTGGTTTGTCTTTGAAAAATTACTTTTCTAATGCATCGTCAGTATATTAAAATTTAATTTGAAGACAAGTTCGATTTTTGTTGTTGAATATAATAGAAAAATTTGTTGTGGTTATTAACCAGAATTATTTTTCGTCATATTATAAATATATAAACGTGATATAATAATTTTAGTCAACTAGTAATTTCTATTCATTTTGATGTTTTATTTACTTGTTTATAAATTCTGTGACTTTTAATAACTTGCTTTGTTCAATATTACATTAAAACTTCATTTTTATAAAACGTTCTAATTTAATAAGCACTAAGCGAATTTCCATAACTTAATCTATTGATATGCAAAATGTATGCAATATTCAATAGTTTTATACCCATAAAGTTCGTAACCATACTATATTAATTCTTTGATAACATATTTGAATGTTAAAAAATGTATTTTGTAAATTCAAAACACAAAAACTAAAATGATTATATACTACACACGTGAAAATATGTATAAATTATAGTATAACAGTTATACTATAATTTATAATTTATATAATTCTATAATTTATATTTATTTATTAATATATATTAGTTACTAATTAAATTATTTTACTAAGTTATTTTACTATGTCTTACAGTAGCTCTTAGATTTCACTTAAATGTATATATTAAAATATTTATTTATTTATTATAAGATTAATATTGATCAGTATTAACTGTCATTAAATAACAATAATTATTGTACATTATATAAAAATATATTTGTAGTTGATTATTTGTATTTAAAATGTAGAAGTATATACAACTTTAATAGGTTTAATTTATAGATAATGATAAAGGTATGTTAAAAAATACTGTACAAAATTATGATATTGAGGATACAGAAATGATATCTTAGAATAGTATAAAAAGGAACAAGAAAATAAAAGATGAAATAAATCAGTTTTCTTAAAGTTTTCATTTGATGGTCGTGATATTTAATAAGCTATTCATTATGTTGTGTTGCAAGTTTTCGTGATCATTCTGCAGTATTTGAGATTTTAATCACTTGTTTTAGATACTGATTGAATTGAGGAGTGCAATGGTTTTACCATATATGTTATTTTTGTGTTTGTAACACGATTACGACCATAAGGATTATTTTGATCTTTATCGAATAAAAAAAAATATATATTGGAAATGGGTTCTAGTTAGTATTTTGGGTCTCTTAACGATTTTGACTTTGGTCTCACTTGACCTAAGATTTTCGTCCCTTCTTATTTTTATTTCCAGGTTGAAAAGGTTATAGTTTTGATTAGACATTATAAAAAATGAGTTATATTCAATATTTATATTTATTTTATTTATTATTTAAAAAAGGGAATTTTCATATTATTGCTAATTCGTTTATTTTTCATGAACCATGATGTCTTAAGGCATATCCTCAAGAATTTGCTATGAGGAGTTTAAATTTTATTTGTAGATTTAGAATTCTTTCTTATTGTATTTTGTTGAAACCAATACAAATATATTTTAATTCAGTAAAATATATTTTTATATATATAGTTTTTATAAAAAAATTATTTGTATAAAATATATAAAATGTTGTACTGTACATTTAATTCATATACTTGAATTATCAGAGTAGACCTATAAAAAAATCTTATTATGATAGATAAGTTAGTAACTAGTACATAAAACCTAGTCACGGTAAATTATTATTTCTCAGAAGTCATTGTTTTTAACATGCTTGTACACATTTTTACAATTTTCGAATGTCTTCAGAAATTAGAATTTTTCTTATTTCGATAAATTTAACTAACGTTCACAGGGCTGTCTATAAAGCAGGGCGAGCGGAGTTTTCTCCCTAGGCCTCACACTTGTACTCTTAGTTCACAGGCCTCACGTTTTCATAAATAATTTTTAAATTATAAATTATTTCTAGTCAATAAGTTTACGAGTAAAAGAACAGTTAAAAGAAAAAAATGTTTGATTATAAATGTTCTAGTACATTTTGTAATTCTACTAGTAAAGATAATTTTAAAAATTTGTATTTTTTCCAATTATTGACCAAATAGTCTTTTTTTTAATAATTTTTTGATTTTCTTTAAGTAGACAATTTAAATAGAAGAAAAGAAAAAATAACTTTTTTATTTGATCTTGGTAACTCTGAAACGAATAAATCAGATTTGTTCACCGTCTAAACTGTTATTTTAATAAATATTTCGTAGTTTTTTTTGTAGTTTTTTTTAATGATCCTAAAAATGTATTTTGTGTCTATATTTTAATTTAATTATGTTTAAATAAAACAAAGGAAATATGGATTTTGTTACTGTGTATTTTAATTTGATTATTTATAAATTAATCAGTAAAAACGTTTGACAAATAAAATAAAATATTTGATTGGATTTAACAAATAAATATAAATGTTGTTTCTATATTTTGATTTTACAAAAAATATGAGTTTAATTATATAAGAATATATTATTGTTGTTAATTATTATTATTTATTTAAATTGTAACATTTTATTATATATTATTTATTATAACAACAAAATCTATGATACGGTGATTTATTACTTTTTTATTCAAATAAAATACACACAGTTTTAGTATACCTACCGTTTCACCAATACTGACTGACTTACTCTAAACGTAACTATGGTAAAATTGAATGCTCCATCAGATTCGTGTGGATACAATAAATGTTTAACACCGAAGCTGTCTTTTTTGACTCTTGAGAATTTTGAGAATATTTTAATGTACGAGTACTACGTACTAAATATTCAAATAGTCACTGCAGTCAATGGCATAGGGGAGTTGTATTTTAAAATATAAAATTTTAAGTTCATAACCGGATTAAAATTTTCATGGATCCTATTGGCATTAATCAGTTTGTTTATGGTTCCTAATAATAAAAAAAATAGTGGAACTAATAAACTTTAATTATATTTAAGTAAAAACTATTAGAAGAAAGCAGATACAAATATTGAATTTATTTTCACTAGAGGTTATATGTTTTGTATGTATATATATATTCAAATATAATTAAAATGTTTTATACATGTGGTATACATATAACTTATTTATTAACTTTAGTTTTATTGAACAGAAATCATCGTGTAGAACCTAATGATATTTTGATATCAATAGTTAAGATATAAATATATTTTTAAATTTATCAGGAAAAATAATAAAACTTGATGGTTAAAAAACATGTTTATTTTGGTTGAAGTTGACGATATCATCTGAGATACTAGTAGATAATCATGTGAAAAATTGAATAATAAATACAAATATTTCAGAGTTAAAAAATTACTCATGTAATAATAATTAAAAATAATAATTAAAGTATTAAGTAAAAAAAAAATGTTTTAGCTTCTAGAAAGAGATAAGAGTGTATTTAAACTAAATCAATAATGCATAGTACATATTAAAATATTGTATCTTAAATTGTTAGTAATAAGATTCCATACTTGAGATACAAAATTATTATTATTAATAATTCAACAAGGACAAATTCATATTTTAAATATTTAGCAGAATTATTTGACCTCATCCATGAGATATTTTACTATTTTAGATTAGAGAAATTTTTATTTTGATGTAAAAAATGTAGATAAAAGTA